AAAAAATCGTATATGCATTTTAATATTGGCAATAAAAAATGATTTTTGAAAAGAATTCGCCCTCCCGTCCTTACCGTCACTACCCTTACCGATATCGCGGGTAACCTACTGCCACTGGAGCCAAGTACCATCCATTAAACGGTTCTGTAGCCATCAGAACAGTTAACAGAAGACAATATTCACAACAGAGCTAGAGTTAAGGTCGTCTGCAGGTGTTTCTACTTGCGCTAGTGCCATCACAAGATCGAATCCCAGGCCTTTCTGATTCGACATCCTCTCAGGGCCAACCAATTGGATCAAACTTGTCTGGGAAGATAAGAGCCTCGTACCAGACTTGATTGGCAGGTACTAAAAACGTTATTATAGGCCGATTTGCATCCCAGTGCTATTCAATCTGAATGAGATGGTGTTGGCATATCCTAACGGGAAGTTGACCCATCCGGGTGACTTAGGACTTTTTTTTCCTTTTTTTTATATTTCAAAGTGCTCTGCGTCCTAACAGTGGACGGACTAACCTGGGTGGCGATACTCATAAAGTCGTTACTGTCATCGGCTGGATTGTGATCCGGATGGGATGGTGCACGTATTCGGAGGAATTCGTGAAGATCGCCGTTCACCATGTATTCAAAGACAGCTGATAAGCGGCCATTGAGATAGGCGACACCTAGACGGAGCGAAATGGACGCCACACAATCGTAATGGCAAAGAAAGACCTCAAAATCAATTTACCGAGTAATCGAATGACGTGGGGGTGATCGAACGATGCTACAGTCCTCACTTCCTCTTCGAGACTCGCCCGATCAGCATTAGTCGCATCGGCACGAACCGATTTGATGGCCACCTGGAACAATTTGGTAAAATGTGGGCCTATGAGGCCTATCGTGGGCCTAAAAGGAATTACTTACTTGAAGGGGATCGCCGTTGATCAGACCGCCAGTCCAAAATCCTTTGTACACCACTCCGAACTGGCCCTCTCCGAGAAGATCGCCAACTTTGATCTGAAACACAGCATTATCAGCTACCTCCTAGGGTTCCCCATGGGGAAGGGCTAACCTGGTTTGCAGGAATCTCCAGGATATGATATGGTTCATCAGCGTGAGGATCATGTGGCACGTGAAAAGGTTCGCCATAAGGTGGTGGAACGGCATGGGAAGGTAGAAGAGAAGCCATTTCCATGGGACCACTACCAATCCCACCACGGGCCATGATCGGTGTAGAGGTTCCATTCATCTTTCGTTGATAATAGGCAGAATTTGCAGCACTGAAAAGTCTTTTGTAATGGTCGTCCCCCCAAAAAGGTGGTCCGTAAAGCTCACCTGTTCACCACGGATGGAGGATTGGTTGCAGGTAGAAGGGAATGAGCAGCAGAAGTTCCTCCTCTACTCTTTGTGCCATTCTTTTTCCGTGTTCTACAGCAACAAATACAGCAGAACAAGAGCATTAGAAGCAAAAGTGACAAAACGCCTCCTCCAACGACAGCCAATTGCCAGTGGGGAGCAAGATTCTCCCACATGGAAGTCAGTGAATCGCCCAAACTTCCCTAAACGCGGTGGTTAAGGTGATTCCGCAAAAGACAAGTCAGGTAACATTAAAAAATGTATTCAACTTACATTATTATTACCCGTGTTCGTGTTGCTATCGGCCAAATGAGGGAAAAGATCTCTAGAGCATTGGGGAATCTGGAATGGGTCAGCACTAAGTATGGGCATGCAGCTAGGGCTACCAAGAAGTTCTCGAACAATTTTTTGACTTCGATACCACGGAGTAATAAGCTGGGTACAAAGACTCACATCACAGTACTCCTCTTGACCCAATGGTTGGGAGTAACACCAAGGCTTCGTCTTCTTCCCACCGGGGTTTCGGCAGTAATTTTTAGCATAAAGAAGCTCTGGATACCTGGCGACGTTGTATTCCCTGAAAATCGCATAACAATGTGAAAGAATAACCGTTCTGACTGGGGCACAACTTGGGAGCAAGCCGGAATTCCCCTTTTTCCTCGGCTAAAGAGCCTCAGAAAACGGGTCCTTCAGAAGTATTGGCTTGCCTACCAATGACTGGCTTTTTTTGAGATCTCATGTCAAAAAACTGCTCAATTTACCTTGACGGAGCATCGTTCCAGTTCATGCACGTCTTTCCAGTTACCGTAGTCGATGCTGCACCTTCGTAGTGTTTTCCACTGTCCACATAACAGAAATGTGTCAGATGACCACGTGGAATCTCAGGCTCGATAGGCATCTAAACGGTACGATGTTGTCCTAGCTCGTTCCACACTTGGGATCAGAATAACATTAGGAAACCTACCACAGGAGTTGGAGCGTCAAGTACACCAATACAATTAGTGGATGACGACGAAAGTGCCGAGCATTGGGGGAAGAGCGCTTTTGGACCGTCACCAACAAGTTCGTGTTGAGCCGCTAATGCCAATTCTGATGGACACAAGCGATTCTGGAAATGCATTATTCGAGGTGATTGAGGTAGCTGTCTTTGAGAAAAGGAGAATTTATCCAATTTAGAAGTAAAAAGCAACTTTGACTAGTTACAGAACTTGCAGGCCAGGTCAAATTTGTGAACTTTTCAGACAGCTCTCCATCTGGGATTCCTTTGTGATCGCAAATGAATGTGATTTTCGGAAGCAATTACAAATTTGAATAGAAACAAATACTTGTAACATCCTACAAAATTTACAAAAGTTTGCAAACACCGTATGTCACGCAAAACTTTGAATTGCTTGGCAGGGTCAAACTAATGACGGGGTGGGTGAGGTTTATTGACGTTCTTATCGAAAAAAAGGGATAAAAAAATAAGTAGGTGTTTGGATAAAGATTTGATAGATCCTGGAGAGTTCTTCAGTCTAAATTGCTATAACTATCCTTTTTATGTCCGCTCCTTCATACTCTAGCCATGCTACTACGGGAATGCGCATGCCTAGGCAGTAGCACTGTGTGGTGGAGCATGAGAATAGTCGTGGGATTTTTCTAAGACGCTTAAATTGATACTGTATCTATGAAAACCCTTACATATTCTTTGGAATAAAATTAGTATAGCAATTGATCTGTTTGAGTTTACCACGCATTATCGGATTTATGTATCTATTTTTCGATGTCGGCTTTGAATGACGCATACAATGGTCAGGAATACCGAAATCAATTTGCAAAGAGTTCACGGATCACTTAGTTATCATCATTAATCATTATTGGTTACGATTATTGATCAGTTTTTAGTAGAAATTGGAAATGAAAGCAACTTATCGTCATATATGAACTCATCTTGTAATCGTAATCAAATCAAAATGAATTTTTTGGATTGGGATCGAAATCATTGTATTATATCTAAGCCAATTTATCTCTAATGGTCATTTCACCCTAAAGTCTACAAGAAGAAGTAGTCCTACTATATGGAGAAACCCCTTAAAATTACGAAATAATGCGGAAGATGAATGAAAAAGGAAATAGAAAGAAGATAAGAAAAAATAGTAAGAAAATAGAAAAAAGATGATAAATGAGCCGAAACGAAATAACGTGAAAAGCGCCATTGGCTGCCAATAAATATCACGAAATCAATGAAAGGTCGAAAGTATTTCACACATGATTTGGGAAGATCAAAAATAATGATAGCGAATTCACCAGATAATTGTTAATATTACTCTGTAAGGCCGTAATGTAGTAATATTTTTGAGAAAAGTCACATCCTTCACGTTTCCGACCTATATTTAGCGAGTATTTACAAAAATCCATAGGATCACTGGATATATTCTTAGAAAGTCTGTCAACGTACTCATTCTGTCATTACTTTGATCTCTGTTTACTAATAAGTGAGTCTTCCAGCCAAAGCAATAGTCATACGGTAAATAGACAAATAAACCAGAAGCTGATTATTGATTTGTTTACACCTTCAAATATACTTGTTGATCAAACTCTATTTAGCTTCCCTTGAGGTGTATTCGATTGTTTCCTCCCTCTCGTAAGCTAGAAAGGGAGCTCCCATGAGAACTGGGTTGGGAGAAAAGTCGGATAACCTTATTGGCACATATGAAGGTAGAGGAGAAAAACAAAAAAGAAAAGAAAAACTGAAAAAAGAGTCATCGAGAGACTTCCCAAGAACCGTCGAGAGGCGTAGAAGTTGGAGAAAACGGGGGGCCCAAAAAAATGTAAAAAAAAA